AAAAAAAAAAGAAAGAAAGAAAAAAAAAAAAGAATGTTACCTAAAAAAGTAATCTTGTGGGATTGGCTTTTTTCACTTACAATTCCTAGATATTTATCTAAGTTGTTGCTTGCGTTCCTTTTTGTTGGTGAGTGCTGTTTCACAGTGTGGATACCATAGTCTATTTGACTGTTGGCTGTTAGAAGTAAATCTATTGTGAACATCTGGTTACAATTGTTATTTTGCTGGTTTTTTTTGTTGTTTGTTGTTGTTTTTAATATAAGTTTTCATTTCCCTTAGATAAACGATTAAGAGTACAGTTGTTTGGGTCAGCAGGTGGCACAGTGGTTAAGGCCCTAGACTTCCTCATGGCTGACTATGGTTAAAGTCCCAGATCTGGTGGCTTCAAAATCATGCTGGGCATATGTGTGTGTGCGCGCCCAAAATCCCAGTAGGAGAATGAAAGGGGATTGCAGCGTGGCTGTCTTTTCTGGAGGGTAATTTCTTACTTTGCCTCTCCCTGTCTCTTGCCAGCTAGCACATGTGGCCTATGGCAAAAACCTTAAAAGAAAAATACATCTATCAAGCTGTGTGATGAATTACATGTTAGCTTTGTAACAAACTACCCAACTGATTTCCAGAGTGGCTGGCCTGTTTTATATTTTTACCCAGTGCTGTGTGACTGATGCAGTTTCTTACCAGCATTTGTTTCACCATATACTTTTCATTTTAGCAATTCTTGTAGGTATGTAGTAATATCACATTGTAATTTTAATTTGCATAGCCTGATGACTAGTGATGGTGGGCATCTTTTCATGTGTGTTTTTCCTCAAATACAGAATAAAATCAAGCCCTTGGATCCTTCTATTCTTTTACAGGATATATAAAAAATACCTCAGGAAAGGAATCAATCAAACGCAATGTGGAGAATTCTGTGGGAGCTATGTCATAATTTCTATAACAAGTCAGTGGTTGGAGAAAGAACTGTGTAGGGGACGACCATTACAGGATATGAAGCAAGAAAAATAATAACTGTTGGGTCATTGGGAAAGTCATGATGCATTTTTGCATAGAAAAACAAAAATATGTCATGACTTTGCCAACAATCTAATAGATGCAGTAGTGGACCTTAGTTGGATTTTTAAAAATTTTAAAATTAATTTTAAATTTTGCTATAGGGAATATCTGCTCACCAGAGACAGACAGCGAGACGAAAAGTGAGAAAGCAGGCTGCCAGATCCAGGACTTGAACTGTGGTTGACCATGTGGGAATCCAATGCCTTAACTACCATGCCACCTCCTGGCCCCCTTGTTTGGATTTTTATTTGAACAAATCAACTAGGAAAAGAAGGATCTTGAAAAAACTGGGGAACCTTGAATATGGACAGAATATTAGACATTACTAAGGAATTACTATTAATTTAGATATGTTAATGGCATGGTTGTTATATAAAAAGAAATTCTTATCAGAGATCCATACTGAATTGTTCACATATTATATTTCGTGTAAATACTGAATTTTTTACTGAAAAATTTACATGATAAATGATGTCTGAGATTTGTTTTAAAATACTGTAGCAGGAAAACAAGGAAAAAATCCAGAGTGTAATGGAAGAGTAGAGAAAAAAGATTGACATGGTGTTGACAGTTTTTGAAGATAGGTGATAGATACCTGAGAGTTTATTTTAATATGCTTTGAATTAGTGATAATATGTGAAATTTTCCACAATGTAATGTTTAAAAGAGTACTTATGGAAATAACATTTTGTATTTAAAAATGTACTGTTAACTGTTCTTAAGGTATTTAATTTTCTGTTAGAAAATGACTAAATATAAAATATAACATGAATAAATTCAACCTTGAAAAGAAAATCTCACTCTGAAGGACAAATATCTAAGGTTATCTTTTTTTATTCAGGCAGAAGAAAATAAGAGATTGAGGAAACTCCAGCTTGAACAAGAAGAAAAATTGGCTATGGAACTGGCAAAACTAAAACATGAAAGTCTAAAGGATGAAAAGATGAGACAACAAGTAAGAGAAAACAGGTATCTTGCTTATTACAGATTTCATGTATTTAATCTTCTTCTTTAAACTCTTTTATAATTCTAATACCTGAGAGCGATGATGTTTTGTTTATATTGTACTTCGTAAATATTTTGCCCACTTTAAGTCCTATACATACTCATTTGAGAAAGAAATTGTATTTATATAAATAAATGTTGAGGCCCAGCAGTGGTCATGTGCTGCTAACACTCTGTGCTCTGCAGGCCGAGACCACATGGGTTCAATTCCGATCCAGCCTACAGTACCGTGTGGTGGCAGATACTTACAGTCACAGCTAGGAGGCAGAGGCAGTAGGATTGTGACACAGTGAGAGACTGTCTGAAAAAGAAGTGTTAATATTTATAGCAAAGTATTAGTTTTCTCTGTCTTTCCTTTAAACATAATATTTTAAATGATCATTTATTATAAAAGGTAGAGTTGTAGAATTCTAGCATTAAGAGAAGCCTTAGGTGATATCTTGTTTAGGTTTATTCCCCAACATAAATGTCCTACAGTATTTCTAGAAAGTGCCTCTTGGGTCTGTGTTGCAACATCTCTACTAATTGTAAAGGAACTTTTTTGTTTTCCATTTAGCCCTAACTTTAATCTTCTTTCTAACTATTGTTTTAAAATGAACTTTTCTGTAACTTTCATGATTTCTTTAGGACATCTTTCGTGTGTGTGTGTGTGTGTGTGTGTGTGTGTGTGTTCACACATATAAATATATATATACATACACATTATATATGTGAACTATACATTTTCTTCTATTAAATATACTTTGGTTCTTCATTGTTCCTTATATAGCACAGCTCTAAGCTATTTACCATCCTGGTTTCTTCTGTAGATACAACTTTGTTTTTTGTTGTTATCAAAATATTGATATCATAATTGCTCCCACCATTATGTATAATACTCCAGGACAGGACTAATGGTAGGATCGGTAACCATATTGTCCTGTAAAAATGTGTTTCTGGGACCAGCAGTTGGCATAATGGTTATGTCTCTGGACACCCATGTAGTCGACTGCGGTTCGAGTCCCAGACCTGGTGGTTTAAACTCACGCCGGGCACGTGTGCGTGTGTGCCCAAGATCCTGAGAGGAGAATGGAGAAGGGATTGCAGCGTGGGCATCCCCCCCGAGGGGGGAATTTCTCACTTTCTGTCTCTCTCTCTCTCTCTGATGAGCACACGCTCCCTATAACAAAAACCTCTCCCCTCCCCCCAAAAAAGAAATGTGTTTTCTAGTGCTGCCTGAGTTTTAATTAAGTGTGACATGGGTTAAGACATTAATTAAAACTCAGGGCCAATCAAATGCTGTTTCTGAACTTAATGTAGTTGAATGTATTGGAAATTTACCTTGATAGTTATTACATTTTATCTTAGTGGGGCAGGACTTACAGAGACTTTTACAGGGAACCATGGCTGAGCTGTAGGGGTTTTTAGCCTCATTAAATTATATTTGTGTGTTTGGCTAATGTAGCCACATGTTTCTTTTCTGGGTCATTCCAACTCTCTAACAGAGTACTGATCCTTAGATTACAGTTGAAAACTACTGCTGGAATATGCACACAGTCTCAAACTGTCTTTTTCCAGTTCTCCAATAATTTCCAGCTGTCCCTCATGGTTTTATACTCATTGGAAGATGAAATAAATATTTTACTTGATCTGATTCACTGTTCATAAGAATTAAATAGAAGAGCTTTGTACATCTAGTGATTTACATTAGGTGATTCTGAAAATGTTCCCTCTGAGATGAGAAACTCTGGGGAAAGTATAAAAATGAGATCTGGGAAAGGAAGGAAACGAGAAAATTGAATGTCGTGTTAGTAGCTGCATCTCTCCTGGAGGTTTCTGCTGATTATGAAAGTATCGTTGAAGTTAAGCGAGTCAGATCTTGACTTATCAGCATGTGGCAATGTGTTCAGTAACATTCTACAAGTTGTCCACTAAGATTTGTGCATGTTTGTATATGTTTTACTTTAATAAGAAGAATTCTATTAGATTTGGTTAGATAAATATAGATGAAGAGATAATTTGTGAGCATGCTAGTGGATAAATATCCAGAGTAAGGTGTGGAGAGACAGAAAAATATAAATAAGAACTTAAAAGATATATGTAGCCCCCTGCCCAGCCATGGGCATGGAAAGAGGGACTCTCTTGGCCAGTTCCTGAAGTTACGAAGTTAGAAGGTAGGAGGGGCCACTTTTCTTGTGCCGATGCTACCTTACTTTCCACCTGTCCAGGAGCAGAGAGAAGGCAGGGCCACCTGGTCCCAGCTCATCACTAAAGGCCCCCCTGCTCAGCCTTGGGTGAGGGAGGAGGGATTGCCTCAGCCTATGTGCTGCACTGTACACAGCTTTGGATACCACCATACATTCTAGCTTCCCAGCTCAGCCACTAGACACATTGAGACCAGAGAGATTTGGGTATATAGGAGCCAAATATCTGAACATTGTGAGGCTCTGGAGCAATTTTCTCCCCACATTCACCCCCCCTGTAAATCTGAACCCAAAACTCACACTGTGGATACACACTGCCATCCACAGTAGAAAAGGGAGACTGGCACAGAGCTAATTCACATCAAAGGGACATGTACGAGCACACAGCTCCCCAGAAATCTATTCCAAAGAAGTAGCAAGGAGTGAGCTCATCACCAAATGACTAAAAAAATCCCAGCAGAGCCTCAAGAAGTATGGGAAAACCAGGAAATACTTCCCACTTAGAACACAATAATTCCTTACCAACAATGGATAAAACACACACACACAAATCACAGGAATGTCACAAAAAGCATTCAGAATATTTATCACAACTAAACTTAATGAAATGCAGGAGAAAACAGACAACCAGTTCCAAGAGGTGAGAAAAATCTTTCTATGACTTGAAAGAAGAACTCCATAAAAAGACACCCTGAAAAAGAATTAAACAGAACTTCTGGAGATAAAGAATACGATGCAGGAAACCAAAACCTCCCTGAAAAAGGTAAATTGCAGTTTAGACCACGCAGAAGAAAGAATGTCAGATCTTGAAGACAAACTTACAACTTAGTCCAACCTACCGAAAAGAATGTAAAAATAACCATTAAAGTGAGGACAGTGGGCTAGCAGATGGCAAGGTGGTTAAGGCACTGGGTTCCCAAGTGGTCAACCATGGTTGGAGTCTAGGATCCAGTGGCTTGAAAATTATGCTGGGTGCATGTATGTACATGTGCCCAAATTCCCAAGAGAAAAATGGAGGAGGAGGGATTGCAGCATGGCCATCCCCGCAGGAGATGATTTCTCACTTTCCCTCCCTCCCTTTCTCCTGAGTGTACCCACCCTATGGCAAAAGCTTGAAAGAAAGAAACAAAGAAACGAAAAAGAGGACAACATACAAGAATTCCTAGATATCGTGGGACCAGCAGATGGCATAATGGCGACGTCACTGGACTCCCATGTGGTTGACCACGGTTTGAATCCCGGATCTGGTGGCTTAAACTCACGCCAGGTGTGTGTGCCCAAGATCCCAAGAGGAGGATGGAGGAGAAGGGATTGTGGCATGGCCATTCCCTGAAATATCCCTGATACTTTATCCGATATATCTGAAATATCACCCAGGGGGTGATATCTCACTTTCTGTCTCTCTGTCTGTCTCTGTCTTTCTGGCGAGTGCATGTGCCTTATAGCAAAAACCTCTCAAAAAAAACCCCCAAAAAAAAAAAAAAAAAACTGATTCCTAGGCACCATAAATAGCTGAATATTCACATAATGGGTGAGTACTCCAGAGGTGAAGACGTATGTAAAAGCTTAGAAAATCTTTTTTATGATATATTAGCTGCAAACTTTCCAAATTGGGAGACATAATGGACATCCAAATCCAGAAAATACAAAGAATATCAAGTAGATGTAACATAAGATCTTCTCCATGGCACATCACAGCCAAACTGATGGAAATCAGACGGGCTGGCAGGTGGCATTGTGGTTAAGGTACTGGACTCCCACATGTTAAATTTGGTTCAAGTCCCAGATATAGTGGCTTGCTTTCTCACTTTCCCTCTTTTTTTTGTTTCTGGTCAAATTAAAAAATAATAATAAATAATAATTAAATAAAAATAATTATTAAGAGATAAGGACAATATTCTAAAAATGGCAAATGCCGAGTTACTTACAAAGGTAACCCCATTAGATTAACATCGGACCTCTCAACTGAAACACTGCAGGCAAGGGCAGGATGGAAAGACTTTTTTTAGGTTTTTGCCATAGAGCATATGCACTTGCTGGAGAGAGTTGGAGAGAGAGGGAAAATTAGAAATCACCACTCCCACCCCCCAGGGGTGATGGCTACACCACAGTCCCTTCTCCATTCTCCTGGGATTTGGGGCACACATGCACATGTGCCTGGCATGATTTTCAAGCCCCCAGGTCTGGGGGCCCAGCTGTGGTAGGCCATGTGGGAGTCCAGCACCTTAACTACCACACCATCTGCTTGTCCTGGGAAGACATATTTTAAAACTGGCAAAAACAATTTCAGCCAAGGATACATACTGTAAGATTATTTTTCAAGAGGAAAGGAGAAATAAGACCATCCCCAGGTAAACAAAAGCTGAAAGAATTCACCAAAAGTAAGCCAGCTCTTCAGGAAATACTTAAGGGAATAATATACATAGACTGAAAATAAAGGACTGGAAAAAGTAGTTTTATGCACAGAATGAAAAACAGGCAGGAGTCAGGATATTGATATTAGACAAAATAGACCTTAGGATAAAAAAGTAAAAAGAGACAAAAGATGACATCACATAGTTGTAAAAGGATTCATTCGCCAAGAAAATATAACAATCATACATATTTATGCACCCAGTGCCAAGGTACCCAAATATTAGGTTGTCAGGAAAGTCATGGCATATTTTCCTATGTTTTATTATCCAAAAATAAGTCATGAATTTCTCAACAACCCATTACATAAAAGATTGCTAGATCTAAATGGAGCTATAGACTGCAACAAACTTAACTGTTGGAGACCAGTAACCCACTGTCAGCACTGGATAGATAAGTCATCGAGTCAGAAAATAGAAGAGATACAGAAGCTAATTGATACCATAAACTAAATGGGCCTGACAGACATACAGAGAGCATTCCACCCAGCAGTTACTAAATACACTTTTTTCTCATCTCCACATGGAACATTTTCAAAGATTGATCACTTAATAGGACACAAAACAAGCCTCTACCAATTTAAAAGTATTGAAACTATACCCAACATCTTCTCTGACAACAATGGAATTAAACTAGAAATCAAACACAGAAAAAAAACTTTGGAAATACACAAAAACATGGAAACTAAACAACCTACTTCTGAACAACTTTCAAACTACTGAAGAAAATAAGAGAAATCAAAATATTCATTGAAACCAATGATAATGAAACCATTCTCCATAACCTTTGGAACACAGTGAAAGCAGTCATAAGTGGGAAGTTCATAGCAATTAGTACTCATAAAAACAAACAAACCCAGAAACATGGTAAACAAATAACTTACCATCACATCTCCAGGAACTGGAAAAACATCAGCAAGTCCCAAAAATAGCAGAAGAAAATAAATAGTAAATATTAGAGATGAAGTAAATGAAATGGAGAATGAAAGAACTATATAAAAAATCAAGGAAACAAAAAACTGGTTTTGTGAGAGGATAGACGAAATTGCCATACCATTAGCTAGACTAGTCCAGAAAGGCAGGAAACAGATAAAATCAGTAAAAAGCCGGTAACATTACAGCTGATATATCTGAAATAGAAAAGATTATGAGAGAAGACTGTGAGTGACTATATGCCAACAAACTAGAAACCTAGATGAGGCGGACAAATTTCTGGACACATACAAGCTACATATACTGAATCAGGATATTGAAATAGCCTGAATAGACCAATAATAAGTAATGAGATTGAATCAGTGATAGTCTTCCAACAAAAAGCCCAGGTCCAAATGGCATCACTTCTGAATTCTATAAAAAATAGGAGCTAATCCCAGTTCTCAAACTATTTTTAAAGATTCGAAGAAGGAATCCTCCCAAACGTGTATTACGAAGCCTCCATCATCTTGGTACCAACCAGACAAGGAAATGATGAAAAGGAAAAAAAATCAAAACAAAACAAAAAACCTACAGACCAAGATCCCTCATGAATACTGATGAAAAATTCTCAACAAGATACTGGCAAGCCAAATCCAACAGCCCTTTAAGAAGATTATACATCACTACCAGGTAGACTCTATCCCAGGGATGCAAGGATGGTTTAACATACACAAAACAATAAATGTAATGCATCACATTAACAGAAAGAAAGATAAAAGCCATATGATCACATTTGTAGATGCAGAAAAACATTTGACAAAATACAGCATCCCTTTATGATCAAGACTCTCAGCAAATTAAGGGTAAAAGGGACATTTCTCAACACAGTAAGTCATATACAAGAGACCCATTGCTAATGTCTTGCTGAAAGGGGAAAAGATGAAAGCTTTCCCACTAAAAACTGGAACAAGAGAAGCCTGCCCACTTTCTCCACTTCTTTTCAACATAGTGTGGGAAGTCCTAATCAATGCAATCAGAAAAGACAGCAAAATAAAAGACATTCAGATAGAAAAAGAAGAAGCTAAACTGTTCCCATTTGAAGTTGATATGATTATATACATAGAAAATACAAAGGCATTCATGGAAAAACTCCTAGAAGTAATCAATAATGAACTCAGTAAAGCATCAGGATATAAAATCAATATACAGAAATCTGTAGCATTTTTATTTGCCAACAATGAGCAGACCAGACAGAATTGAAGAAAGCAATTTCATTTACAATAGCCATGAAACAAATAAGATACGTAGGTGTAAACCTAACAAAACAGGTGAAAGATCTCTACAAGGAAAATATGTGACTCCATCTATTATTAGTCATAGTAAACATATCTAAACCATTTCCCAAAGGAAACCATATGTTGTACCAAAGCAAAAGTATCAATAGATTGTCAAAGGATTTTATTCATATATAATGTACTAAAAACAAAAACCTAGGCAATCTTTTTGTGTTTAGGTATTTTTAAATAATACTTCTGAGTAACCCTTGAGCCAAAAAGTAAAGTTGAAATTAGGATTTCTCTTTTAACTGAATAATAATGAAATTACCACACAGTAAAAGTTGTAGGACTAAGACTGGCAGATGGACTCCCACATAGTTGACCAAGGTTCGAGTCCCAGACCCAGTGGCTTAAAACACACTGGGCACGTGTGCTCAAAATCCAGAGTGGAGGCTAGAAGAGAAGGGATTGCAGCATGGCAGCATGGACATCCCCCCGGGGGGTGATTTTCGCTTTTGTCTCTCTGGTGAGTGTACATCCCCTATAGCAAAGCTCTCTTTAAAAAAATATTGTAGGACTAAAGTGTTATCAGTGAACTGGAGAAGTAGGCATTTCCAAGCTCCTGCCTGCACTGCCACCCTCATGCCAGAACATTAAAAAAAAAAAAAAACAAGCAGAATCTGTCTGAACCAACTTTGTAAGAACTTTGGACAACATCCAAAGGCTTACAGCAACCAAGTAAATGTAAATCAAGAAAAAGACAACTTGGGGCCAGGAGGTGGCGTTGTTGAGATGCTGGACTCCCACACCCCTGACCATAGTTCCAGATGTACTGGCTTTCTGTCTGTCTCTCTCTCTCTCACTCTCTCTTATTTCATGAGCACACATGCCCTGTAGGAAATTTTAAAAAGAATAAAATTAGGGACCAGTAGTTGGCATAATGGCAATGTCGCTGGACTCCCACGTAGTCGACCATGGTTCGAGTCCTGGACCCAGTGGCTTAAACTCGCTGGGCGCGTGTGCGTGCATGCCCAAGATCCTGAGAGGAGAATGGAGGAGAAGGAATTGCGGCATGGCTATCCCCCCTGGGGGGTGATTTCTCGCTTTCTGTTTCTCTGTCTCTCTGGCGAGTGTACACACCCTATAGCAAAAAAATCTCTTCAAAAAAAAAAATAAATAAAATTCCTTGAAAAAAAATAGGAACACAAAAGGCAACTTAAAAAGGTCAGGAAAGCTTTGCAGTGTTTTTACTTGCCCTTGCCCCCATCTCTACCCAGCTCAGAGGCAGCAAGCAGTCTTGAAGATAGAGCCATGTTCCCAGTGTAGGACCCTGGCTCCTGGCTCAGAAAGGAGCAGGCCTTAATCACAAATTATTGTGTATGTTTGTTGTAAACTCCCTTGGAGTTGCCCAAGGGGTTGATACAAACTCATCTCTGTTTTACCTAGCTTAGAACTCACTAGGCCAGAGGAACAAGTTACAACTCTAGTAAGGACTTTATATCCAGAATACATAAATAAACCAATGACAGTAAGTAAACTATTCTGTTCAAAAATGGATAACACATTTATACTTCTCCATAAAAGATATACAACAGGAACTAAGCAGATGAAAAACTCCACAAACACTGTTGTTAGTCATTAAAAAAAATTCATATCAAGAACACCAACAGGATATTATTTCACATCGAATGGGCCTAGTTATAATAAAACAAATGTAAAATAACAAGTGTTAGCAAAGTAAATTGGAACCATCAGACATTACTGGGAGGAATGTAACATGCGCAGGCACTATGGAAGACAGGTAAACACAGTTACCATATGATCTAGCAGTTCTCCTAAGTGTATCTATAAAAGAATTGAAAATTGGAACTCAAGTAGATAACTGCACGCCAGTTTTCAGTGTAGCACTGTTCATAATAGCCAGAAGGTGGAGGCATCGCAAGTGTCCATCAGCAGATGAATGGATAAATAAGGTGTGGTGTGTACCTACAGTGGAATAGCATTCCATTATAAAAAGGAATAGCCCATCACATGAGATCAGGTGTAGAATTTTCCACTCGTCTTGTTATTTTGTGATCAAAAAGTTTTGGATTTTTGAGCTTTTCAGACTAGGGATGCTCAACTTAAACTAGCACTGGATAAAGCAAAAATAAACTAGAATAGAGCATTCCTTTTCAACCAGAAAATTTAAGCTCTAATGTCTTAGAGAATTACATGTAGTGAATTAATTTATCTCTCTTGTGGATCTAAAATGATACCAGCTAGCGCCAGCAGGTGGCGGGTTTAGAAACTGGGTCCCACATAGCCAACTCTGCAGTTCGCATCCTGGACCCAGTGGCCTGAAATACACGCCAGGTGTGTGTGCATCTGTGCCTAAAACCCTGGAGGATAATGGAAGAGAAGGGATTGTGGCATTGCCATCTCCTCCAGGGGGTAATTTCTCACTTTCCCTCTCTCTCCAGTGAGTGCACATGGCCTAGAGCAAAAAATCTAAACCTTAAAAGAAAAAAGAAAATGGTACCAGCTATACTGAAAAAGTTTTACATACAGTCATTTGATTTTCTGTGAAGCTTAATTCTCTTATGGTTCTTAAATTTCTTTCTTCCTTTCTTTAACAGTATCGAGCTCAGAGAATTGGAGAAGAAGTTAAAAGCAGCTTACATGAATAAAGAAAGGGCAGCTCAGATTGCTGAAAAAGATGCCATTAAATATGAGCAAATGGTAATCATGTTTCTGATCGTGTGCTTTGTTTTTAGCTTTATTAAAAGAAAACCAAAAATAGGCCAGCTTTTTTGAAAAGTGTTATATTCTATAAAGAATTTATACTGCTCAATTTCTCAAATAATTTTATACTTTTCAGATCCTTCAGGTACAGAAAATCTTGGATGGTTTTTTATGGAAATCTTGTGTAATAATCAAGCCTTTCAGAGACACAGGTTGCTACTTAAAATGAGGAGCAATGTTTAGTAACCCCCAGCATTCTTTATGGACTCTGGTTATTCTTTGACTACTAGATAGCTAATTGTTAACATGATAAGCATATTTCAGAATGTCATTACTGTTTTATAAAAGCAGTTTTTTTTCTCATGTTTCTGTTTTTATCGTTTCTAACTCCTGACATGCTACGAAGTTCATGGCCAGAGTTACTCTTGGGCAAAGGGGTCTCCAACATACGCACGGTTGTGTTATACAATATAAATGTAAAACGGGTTTTATTGAGTTGACAGTTAAAAGCTGTGGGAGGCTGCGCACCAGCGAGTCTGCCGAGGTTTCTCAGAGAGCAAACAGTTACCATGATTGGTTCCCTTCCAAGATGCTCTTCACTGGATCCTTCGTACTCAAGTCCCTGTTCGGGCGCCAGGTGTCCCGACCCGGGGGGACAGCCGAACGGGTTTCTTGAGTGAAGGAGTGAGAGCCAGGGCAAGCAGCGTAGTGTTACAGCACGGAGACGACAGTGTCGTCTGTTTATTGTGGGCAGCACGGTACAGCACAGAGACGACGCAGTGTCACAGTTCTTAAGGGTCGCGTCGTCTACTGTGAGCAGCACGGAGACGACGTGGTATCACAGCTCTTCAGGGTCGTCCGGAGACGATGTAGTGTTACAGCTCTTCAGGGTCTCCCAGTTTGTCTGGAGACGATGCAGTGTCAGCTCTTCAGGATCTTCAGGTGGGTTATGATTGGTTACTTTTGGACCAATCATGAGGTACAGGATATGCAAATTTGAGGGATTCTAGTAGTCAATCAGAGCAAGATTTCGAAGGTCAGGTTTTTGGAAGGGAACCAATCATGGTAACTGTTTGCTCTCTGAGAAACCTCGGCAGACTCGCTGGTGCGCAGCCTCCCACAAAAAGCAGACTGCATATCATCACTTGAGCTCTCATTATCACACAGAAAAGCCAAGTAGTTATATACAAATATATGTGTACGTACATATGTATGTATTGTGTATATCAACCAAAACACGTGTTCACATACACACACACGCAGGTTTAGGGGTGATATCAAAATACTTAACCGGTGCAGTGCAGAGTAGGTATTTATTAACAGTAGATGCTGACCACAATTGAGACGTGTTTGTGATGATGTGTGTGTGTTTGTGTTAGTTGAAAAATGTCAGGGTTATCGAGCTTGCTGTCAGTGACAACCTTAGGTGTGGCAGGTGGTAGGAGAAGGTAGGGTAGCTTCATTTCCTAAGCCAGAGTTCAATCCCTTCCAAATAAGGTAGAACACAGACACACACTGTCTGTGGTTTATAGTTTTGCTTATCCTGACAGTTAAGGTAATTCAGGGTAGTTGTAAACATTTTATTCTGACACCTAAAGGAATTATTGCTATTTTCTGAATTAAAATTGTTTCATAAAATTCAAGTTGAATACACCTAGCATTTGACTAGGTATCAAGATAGCAAAGTGCTAGTTGGGGCTTTAGAGCCTTGGATTTCTTACCTATTAAAGGAGAATATTTTATTTTTGTAAATTTGTGATAATCTACATAATCATTTTGTCATTTCGTACCTTTTTACAAAGAACTTAGTATAACATCTGCACAGAAAAGATAAGGAAAGAAAAAATTTTGTTTAAGTTATATTAATGGGAAAGGGTAATGTTAGATACATCAGTTACATCAGGAATAATGTTAAGCATCCATGTTTTAATATGTTTCTCCTTTATGTTTGATGCTGCTTACCATTCCAGCATTTTGGATATGATCATAAAGGTAAAGGGTAATTTTTAAAAGTTGCCCCATGTCTTTAACTTAAAATTCATTTTGTTAAATGATTTGACAATGATCAAAAGGAATAGGGGTTTAAGCCATCAAAGAAGAAAAGTGTCTAACTCAGGGTAAATTAAAAGCAGCAGAAAACTTTAACATATACAACCCTTTTAAGTTAAAGGGATTACAAAAGGTCCTTTAATAATGAGCAAGAGCCAATAGCAGGAGAAATTTTAGCTGAGAGAAATGTAAGAGTTATTCAGAATTGGAATGACCCCATAGCCTAGTGGTTAACAGAGCTAGATCCCACATGGCCAGCGGCAGTTCAGATCCTAACCCAAGTGGCTTGAAAAGCATGCTGGCATGTGTGTTCATGCCAAAGTTCCAACAGGATGCAGAAATGGAGGAGAAGGGACTGCAGCATAACCATGCCCCACTGTGGGAGGTGCTTTCTTCCTCTTCTCCTTTCTCTCTCTCCCTCTCCGTCTCTGGCCAGTATATATGTCCTGTCTTAAAAAAAAAAAAAAAAGACAGGGAATTCAGAACTATTTAATAGCAGAACTCTATGAAAGAGGTGGTACCATCTTTATTCCAAATAGTATCTGGTAAACAGTGTAATTTAAAACTATTAAAATTGTCCCCATCAACTTAAAAACTGAAGAAAAAGATGACGACTGCTTTGGCAATGGTTAAAATAGTTATTAATGAGGTACTTACAATTTTACTTACTGTTTTTCAAATGTGAATTTTCTCTGAAGGATTAGGAAAGCCTCTTTGAGGTTTGACTCATCATCATTCAAACCCTTCAGCTAATGATGGCTTTGGCTCCTTTTTTTTTTTTTTAAGTTTTTGCCATAGGGCATTTGTGCTCAGCAGAAAGAGAGAGAGAAAGTTGGAAATTACTGCCTTCCTCTCCACCGCCCCGGGATGGCTACACAGTCCCTTCTCCATTCTCTTCCTGGATTTGGGCACATACGCACATGCACCCAGCATGCTTGTCAGGCCCCCAGGTTTGGGACTCGAACTGCGGTCGACTATGTGGGAGTCCAGTACCTTAACTACCATGCCATGTGCTGGTCGATGATTTTGTTTTTTACCTAGACAGATGAAAATACTTATTTTATGCAATAGACCTCACAATATTCAAGTACATCTGTTTTAAGGATTCTGTCAGACTGTGCTCATTTTAAAATGGAAATATGAATATGTTTGTTTTTTTCGCTATAGGGCGTATGCGCTTGCCAGACAGACAAAGAGAGACAGAGAGACAGAAAGCGAGAAATCACCACCCCCCAGAGGGGATGGCCACACCGCAATCCCTTCTCCTTCATTCTCCTCTCTGGATCTTGGGCACGCACGCACATGTGTCCGGCATGAATTTTAAGCCACCGGGTCTGGGACGCGAACTGCGGTCTGCTACATGGGAGTCCAGCGACATAACCATTACGCTAACTGCTGGTTCCCAATATGAATATGTTTTAATAACAGAAACGTGATGCTGAAATAGCCAAAACCATGATGGAAGAGCAGGAGCGAGTAATAAAGGAAGAGAGTGCTGCTGAAGACAAACGGAACAAAGTGAAGGCACAATACTATTTTGACTTAGAGAAACAAGTTGAAGAGCAAGAGAGAAAAAAGCAAGAAGCTTATGAACAGTTGTTGAAAGAAAAACTCATGATTGATGAAATTGTTAGGAAAATCTATGAAGAAGATCAACTGTAAGTTTATCCCAGTGTTCTTACAGACTGAACATTTACTGTAGATTTCTTGTAGGTTTTTTGTGATGCGGTAAAGTTCCTAGAACAGTGCCTGATACATAGTAAGGACTCAATGATGTTAGCTGTGACTCATAAATTCAGATCAAGTCTTCCTTATTTTCGTTAGCATGATAATTAGTAAATTAATAATCTGCTAATAAGTAAATGCCTACTAAGTGACTGAATGACCTAAACCTTTGTTTTTCTTAAATATGTCCATATCGTGTGTCAGAAAGCATGTTTCCTGATGAATTTCCCTGGTAAACAGCTTCAGTGTAGAGTGCTGCAGCGCCGTGCTGATTAGGTGGTAGCCTTCAGGAACTGCGTTGCCTAAAGCCTCATTAATAGGCTAACAGAAAGGCATGGTGGTATTTTATTCAGAGAAAGTTCATACGTGGTATATCGGTTACATGAATGAATGAACAAACTAAATGGGGAGGATAATTATCAGAATGAAATTATTTTTATATTATTATTTCTATTACTATAAAATGGTACCCACTGTTACTTTTCAGAGAAAAACAACACAAATTAGAAAAAATGAATGCCACTCGAAGGTATATAGAAGAGTTTCAGAAAGAGCAGGATCTCTGGAGAAAGAAGAAACGTGAGGAGATGGAAGAAGAAAACAGAAAAATCATAGAATTTGCCCACATACAGCAGCAAAGAGAAGAAAATCGGATGGCAAAAATTCAAGAAAATGAAGAAAAAAGACGCCAGCTTCAGGATGCGGTATTAAAATAACATTTCTTTAACACTAAAATTCTGAAATGTTAGTTTCATAATTTGGGTCCTATAAATATTTGTGCTTTTAAAAAATTTAATAGCTGGCTCAGAAATTGGAAGAAATGCTGCGGCAACGTGACGATCTGGAACAAGTACGACAGGAATTATATCAGGAGGAACAAGCTGAGTTACACGCCAGAAAACTAAAAGTAAGTTTCAGAAATTGAAAGAATTATTAACAGAGAGAAGAATATAATTTTAGACAAAGCAGTAGAAAGACAGTACATAGACTTAAACCCAGCCATGGTGATATTTCCTCTATACATAAATGGTGTAAACATTACAGTTAAAAGACAGATTTTTAAAGCTAAAAATCTAGACCCAGAGCCAGCAGATGGTGTGGCGTGGTGCTTAAGATATTAGATTCCCACATGACTTACGATGGTTAGAATCCCAGATCCAGAAGCTTGAAAATCATGCCGTGCTTGTGTGTGTGTGTGTGTGTGCACGCGCACACACACAGTCCCGAGAGGAGAATGGAGAAGGGACTGTGATCAGGCCGTCCCCCCCGGGGGTGGAGGTGATTTCTTACTTCCTCTACCTCTCCCTCTCTGGCGAGTGCACTTGCCCTATGACAAAAATCAAACCAAAACAAGCTGGATCCAGACAGCAGTTCTCAAACTGCCTCATAAAAAGCATAACACTGGGACCAGCAGATGGTGTAATGGTTATGTCGCTGGACTCCCATGTGGTCAACCACAGTTTGAGTCCTGGATCTAGCGGCTTGAAACTCACGGCAGGCATGTTTGCATGTATGCCCAGGATCCTGAGAATGGAGGGAATAAGGGATTGTGGCATGGCCATCTTCCCCCGAGAGGGGGTGATTTCTCACTTTCTGTCTCTCTGGCAAGCACATATGCCCTAATAGCAAACAAAAAAACAAAAACAAAAAATCATATTGCAAATATATTGCCTACAATACACAGAATTTAAAAATGAAGATGTGTGCAGTTTAAAACCAAAGAGAGAAAGATTGTACCATGCAGACACTAAATCAAAAGCAAGTTGGAGTGGCTACGCTAATATGACATAGACATAATCAACCTCAGGGCCAGGAATTGATGATGGCCAATTTCATTTAGAGGCTGTTCTAATCCTAAAGGTATATGCACCTAAATTAAAAAGTTTCACAGTACATGAGGTGAAACTGGCAAAACTGAAAGTAGTAATAAGCAAACCCACAAGATTTCAATCCTCCTTTCCCATTAATATGTAGGCTAAGTAATCAGAACCACCATTTATATATTGAACAGAATCAACAGACTTGACCTAACTGGCATTGAGAGAGTACCCCACCTAATAACAGCAGTTAGAATCAAGTATACATGGAACATTCACCAAAATAGATTATATTCTAGATCTAAATTTAAAATCCTAAATTTACAGGATTTTAAATGTTACTAAATACATTTTCTGACCAAAAAAGAATTTAACTAGAAATCAATAATAAAAATATGCCTGAAAATCTTTAACTATATTATAAACAATGTAGTTCTAAATACATGCATAAAGAAAGAAATATGTTGTTAAAATAATAATTTCTTTTTAAATTTTTATTTCTAATTTGACCAGAGAGAGACAAAAAGAGAAAGGGAAAGTGAGAAAGCAAACCACGGGTCTGGGAATTGAACCATAGTCAGCCATGTGAGAGTCCAGTGCCTTAACTACCACGCCACCTCCTGGCCCTCAAGAAAGAAATCTTAATGAAAATAAACATATTTCAAAGTGAATTAATAAAAAGCCAGCATACCAAATTATGTGAGATACAAGTAAAGCAGTGCTTAGAGAGCAGCTTATATCTTTAAATATGTGTATTAGAAAAAGATAGTTTAAAATCATGATTTAATATCTATACAAAAATTTGTGCATAAATGTTAACAGTAGCAGTATTCATAATAGCCAGAAAGTGGAAATAATCCAACTGTCAACTGATGAATGGCTAAGCAAAATTTATCCATCATTGCATGTGTTTATCTATGTAATAGAATGTTATTTAGACATAAAACCAAATTAAGTACATATTAAGACATAACCTTTCATTGTGTCTTATTTAAAAATAAAATGCTTTTTTGTACATAGCAGAGCAGCTCCCTCGCTGCGATCTGTTGAGAGTCAGCCCTCGACACAAGGATTTGTCAAAATAGTAAAAAAATAAAAAATAAAAGAGAAGAAAAAAATGTTTTGGGGACCAACAGGTGAATGGTGGTTAAGGTGCTGGATTCCCACTTAGTAGACCATGTTTTGAGTCTGAGACCTGGTAGCTTTCTCTCTCTTACATGAGCCCTGTAGTGAACTAAAAAATAAAAGAATTATTGGGGAAAAAAGTGCTTCAAGAATATTATTTAAGGGACCAGCAGTTAGCGTAATGGCTATGTCACTGGACTCCCATGTCATCGACCGTGGTTCAAGTCTTGGACCCAGCGGCTTAGACTCAGGCCGGGCCCGTGTGCGTGTGTGCCCAAGATCCTGAGAGGAGAATGGAGGAGAAGGGATTGCAGTGTGGCCATCCCCCCTGGGGGGTGATTTCTCGCTTTCTGTCTGTTTCTCTGTCTCTGTCTCTGTCTGGCGAGCGCACACGCCCTATAGCAAAAACCTCTCAAAAAAAAAAAAAAAAAAAAGAATATTATTTAAGTAGAATCTGGGCTGACCCCATAACACAGTGGTCAAGCCCTAGGCAAATAGAGCCACATCCCAGCTGGCCAACTGTGGCTCAAATCCTGGCTCAGACAACTTGAAAAATACACCAGGCACACATGTACATGTCCAAAATCTTTTTTTTTTTTTTTTTTTTGGCTATAGGGCGCGTGCGCTTGCCAGATAGACAGAGAGAGACAGAGAGATAGAAAGCGAGAAATCACCCCCCATGGGGGATGGCCACACCACAATCCCCTCTCCTCCATTCTCCTCTCGGGATCCTGGGCATGCACACACACACCCGGCATGAGTTTAAGCCACCAGGTCCGAGACTCAAACCACGGTCGACTTCGTGGGAGTCCAGCAACATAGCCATTACGCTAACTGCTGGTTCCTACATGTCCAAAATCTTGACAGGATGGAGAAATGGAGGAAAAAGAATTGGGATGTGACCACAGCCATTGGAGAGGTGCTTCTTCTCTTTCTCTGGCCAGTGCACGTGCCCTAGGGCAATAAAAAAATATGTATTTATAAATGAAATCAAACAATATGTTGCCCTTTAGAATTGGCCTTTCTCTGCTTGGCATAATTCCCTGGAGATTCAGCTAAGTTGTTGTTTGAATCCTGTACTTCGTGCCTTTTTATTGCTGCATATCATTTCATTGGAATGTATGTCCCAATTTATTTGGCCCTTCGCCCATCAGAGGACATCTGGAATGTTCTCAATTTTTGGCTCTTTGAGATAAATCTGGTGTAAGCATTCAGGTGTGTTTGCTGTCCTTTTTCCCCTTAAGGTTTTTTTTTTTTTTTTTGCCATAGCATGCATGTGCTCACCACAGAGAGAGGGGGGAAAGTGAGAAACCACTCCCCGGGGGGATAGCCACACTGCAGTCCCTTCTCGATTCTCAGGATTCGGGGCACATACACTCAGCATGGTTTTCAAGCCACTAGGTCTGGGCCTTGAAACATGGATGGCCCTGGATAACCAATGCCTTAACTACCCGCCACCTGCTGCTCCCTCAGGTGTACGTTTTTGTGTAAGCAAGTTTTCATTTCTCTGGGATCAATTGCTGGAGAGCACAGTTAGCTGGGTGTAGTGGTACTTGCATGTTAGTTTATAACAATCTGTTACATTGTTTTCCAGAATGGCAGTACTATTGAACAGTCCCACTAGCAATGTATGAGCGATGCGATTTCTCTGCATTCTTTGCCACTGTTTTTTATTTTAGCCATTTCTAACGGTTGTGTAGTGACACTTCCTTGAGGTGTTAGTTTGCATTCCTTTGGTGGCTACCGAGGCTGAACATTTTTGTGCTCTTTGCCATCCTTTTGGTGTAATACCTGCTTTAGTGAAATCTTTCTTTCTTTCTTTCTTTCTTTTTTCCTTTTTTTGCTGATTTCTAATTGGGTTCACTCATTGTAGAGTTTCAGAGTTGGGTACATTCTAGATTTTAGTATTGTCAGGTGGCTGGTTTGTAAATATTCTCTCCTGGTATGTAACTACTTTTTAAACTCTTAATGTGGTCTTTCTCAGAGCCAATGTTTTCCATTTCTGTGGAGTCCAATTTGTTTTCTTTTATGGAACCTTCTATGCTTAAGGTGTCAAGTTTAGCAACTTTTTGCCTAGACCCTAAATAATTTTTTCCTTAAGTTTTTTTCTATTTTATACTTAAATCTACTTCATTTTCAGTTCATCTCTTGTATAATTTTTTTTCAACTTAGGCCAAAATACAGTTTTTGCCTTCAGATATCCAATTTTCCAGACCCTTTGTTGAAGTGGCTGTCTGTTCAACACCGTTGCTTTCTGTTTCACACCGTGTTAATCACAGTTGAGCATATCCGTCTGAGCCTGTGCCTGGGATCTGTATTTGGATCCCTGTTTCTGGCCTAGTACAGCACACATCTCTTTTGATTATCTTAGTTGTATAGGTCTTCAAAATTCTTTTAGCTGTCCTGGTTCCTTTATCTCCTCATATAAACTGGAGAATTATCTTGTCTCTATCTAAAAATTATCTTTCTGAAATTTTGAGGGAATTGCATTAAATCTGAATGTCAATTTTGGAGGGAAATTAACATGTTCACTACATTTTTCTTTTTATTTGGAGAGGTTTTTGCTATAGGGCGCGTGCGCTCGCCAGACAGACACAGACAGACAGACAGACAGAAAGCGAGAAATCACCCCCCAGGGGGCATGGCCACGCCGCAATCTCTTCTCCATTCTCCTCTCGGGATCTTGGGCACGCACGCACATGGGCCCAGCGTGAGTTTTAAGCCACCAGGTCCGGGACTCGAACTGTGGTCGACTACGTGGGAGTCCAGCGACATAGCCATTACGCTAACTGCTGGTCCCAACATGTTCACTAGATTAAGTCTTCCAATCCCTGAACATAGAATGATTCTCCTTTTAGATCTTTGAATTTTTTCATCAGTGTTCTGTAGTTTCTAGCCTACAAATCTTGTACTTTTTTTTTGTTAGATTTATATCTAAATCACCCTCGTTTATGGAACAAATTGTACAAGGAATATTAGTTTGTTTCGATGTCCACAATCTCATGGCTGGGGAATTGATGCTTTTATGTTTACCTTGTCTCATGATCTTGTTAAATTCACTTAGGAGCTCTAGCAATTGTTTTTTCCTACCTAGTCAGGCATGTCTTTTGTAAATAGGGAGTTCATTTCATGCTTTATGATCTGTATACCTTTTATTTCTCTTAAGAACTGGCTAAAACTTCCAGCAACACTGCTCCCACTATGTTGAATAAGCATGATGTGAGTAGACATAACCTTCCATGTTGCCAGTATCAGGAGGAAAGCATTCAGTCCTTTCACCGTTAAGTAGAACGTTTCAGTTGTAGGTTTTGTGTGGGTGCTCCTTATCAAGTTGAAGTTCTCTTTTATACCTGTCTTTTTGAGGGTTTTGTCATGAAAGGGGTGTTAAATCTCAGCAAGTGCTTTTTCTCAATCTATTGATATGATTAGGTACCTTTTCTTCTTTAGCCTGGTTGCTTATATTGATTGATTTTTATTGACCCAGCATTGCATCCCTGAAATAAATCCCCTTTGGTCATGGTGTATAATTTTTTTTAATGTATGACTGAATTATACTTTTATACTTCCCAATATTCTGTTAAGGATTTTTGCATTTACATTCATGCAAAGTACTGGCCTATAGTTTTTTTAATCATATATCAGGGTAATATTGTCTCCATAAATTAAATGGGAAAATGTTCTCTCCTCTGTTTTACGAAGATACTATGTAGAATAGAATTGGGTTAGTTCTATAACTGTTCAGTAGAACTGAAATTTCAATTCTACCATCCCGATTCGGAGAGTTTTCTTTTCTTTTCTTTTCTTTTTTTTTTGGAGGGAGTTGTGACATAGTAACTCAGTCTCCTTAACAGTTGTAGAGAAATTAAGATTATTTTTTATCTGGTGAGTTTGAGTAGCTTGTTTCTGAAATGATTCATCTTGTCTAAATTGTCAAATCTGTGTATGTAGAATTGTTTGTAGTATTCTCTCTTTTATTTAAAAAATTTTTTTTGAGACGTTTTTGCTATTGGGCGCGTGCACTCGGCAGAAAGACAGAGACAGAGGGACTTAGAAAGTGAGAAATCACCTCCCAAAGAGGGGTGGCTATGCCAACAATCCCTTCTCCTCCATTCTCCTCTTGGGATCTTGGACACACATGCACACAGTCCTGGCATGAGTTTAAGCCACTGGGTCTGGGACTCAAACCACAGTCGACTACATGGGAGTCTAGTGACATAGCCATTATGCTAACTGCTGGTCCCTGTAATAATATAATATTCTCTTAGTATCATTTTGATGTCTCCAGTGCCCCTAGTGATCATCCATATTTTAATCCTGATGTTGATTTATTTTTTGTCTTTTTTAAAAGTCTGTTGCTTTTAAGTACCAACCATTTGTTTCATTGATACTTTTTTTTTTTTTTTTTTTTTTTGTAGGGGGGTTTTTTTTTTCTATTGGGGGGGTGCACTTGCTATAGGGTGCATGCTCTCGCCAGAGACAGAAAGTGAGAAATCACTTCCTTGGGAGAAAGTGAGAAAGCAAGCCACCACGTCTGGGACTCAAACTATAGTCAGCCATGTGGGAGTCCAACACCTCAACCACGCCACCTGCTGGTCCCAAACCTTTTTATTTTTAATAATTTTTTATATCAGAGTGTGTGGACTTGCCAGAGTGGAGGAGAGGGGAAAGCACCCTAGTGGGAAGTGGCCATATCATGTTCCCCTCTCCTTCCTCTCTCTCTCTCTTTCTGGGACTTTGGGAACATATGCACCTGGCATGTTTCTCAAGCTGCTGAGTTCAGGACTTGAACCATGAAGTCAGTCATCTGGGAGATGGCTGCCTTGACCACCAGGCCATGGAGCTGGCCTGAGCCCTTACCTTCTATATGCACACAACACTGGTAAGTAAACACTGTGTGCCCAGCATCCCTAAGAAAATAACATTCCTTCTAGGATTTTATTGTGAGAAAAGGCATATACGTATGAAAGAAAATTAATGGAGACAGAGAAAGTAAATGCTAAATAATAAAGAGGCCCGAGAGAGAGGTGAGTATGAGTTAGTGATTGGAGACAATGTTATGGAGGAAATAGGATTTGAAAGGGGAATTGAAGAGGTCGACTACTCAGTATAGCAGATAATGAACAAAGTCGACATAGTTAATACTGCAAGTTGGCTCACTTCACAGCCATCCTCCCCTGGAGTCCCTTTTTCAAAATGTGCCTTGGTATGTTATAAAGGCTATAAAGTTAAAAGTACATTTGTCTTCGGTTTATGACTAGGTTATATCCAGCAGTTATGTTCTCCCACTTCAAGGTGTGAAGATGGAAGTTAGCAAAAAGAGCAGCCACCACAGGACGGCCAGGACACTTGTAGCAGCTTTGCTAGAGTTGTCATTTTGGAATCTGATCAGTGGGGTAGCAGCTTGATTCCCTGACCTTCTCCAAGTGTTGTATGCTCCCTAATGTCCTGCAGGTTAAGGGTCCCCATCCTCCGGGCTCTGGATCAATGCTAGTCCATGGCCTGTTGGGGGGTGGGCGAGTGAGCAGTTCCGTGTTTGCAGCCATTCCCATCACTCGCATTGTCGCGTGAACTCGGCGCCTGTCAGGTCAGCGGATTCTCATGAAAGCACAAACCCTATTGTGTGATTGTTTTATTGTATATTGCAATGTGGTGGTGGAAATGGGGTGCATGGTGGATGTGGTGTGCTTGGGTCATCCCGGTACCAACCCTTCCACCCTGGTCTCTGGAGGGATTGTCTTTCACAAGGCTGGTCACCAGTGCTGGGAGGGTTGAGGACCACTGCAGTAGTAAGTCCCTGGTGGTCTCCGTTATCTGTGAGTAATAACCGTGCACAGCAGAGGTGTTAAGGTGACGTTCTGGGTGCCTTCAGGACCTTGGCCTGCCTAGAGTTTGTGTTAGAATGGACAGGGTTGGTGGGTTAGAGAAGAGAAAGTGTTGTGAGTCCTAATCGAACAGAGAGTTGATAAAGCAAGGACAGCGAAGCGTTTTGGAGGAATCTAGGTGTTAGGTATTGAGTAGTCACTGCATGTTTTTAGCTTGCCAGAGGGCACGTGTGCTAACCCCCCTGGGCCACTGTCTTGCCACACTGCCTTCTCTTCTATTTCTACATTTTTTGGGGACTTTGGGCATACATACACATGTACCCAGCATGTTTTTTAAGCTGTTGGGGTCAGGATTTGAATTGTGTAGTTGGCCATATGGGTGCCAGCTCCCTTAATCCCCAGACCATGGGCCAACTCCAATTCTTGGTTTTCTAATATATTTGAGATTTTTCATAATAAAATTTGGGGGTAAAAGTTTATAGAAAAGGACACTAACTGCTGTGAGTAAATTAAATTTCCCTGTATAACTTTGCTAGACTATTTTTCTTATTAAAAATTGTAAAATTTCTTTTATACATTCAGTCATTATACATCACTACAGCTTGTAAAGTGAATTTACCCAACATGAATACACTTCACACCAGTTTCCTTGAAGATACCATATATGTTATGATTAGATAATCATCCATTTCTAGATTGTTTTTAAATTTTAGGGAATTTTGGAGAATGGAAAGAGTATTAGAAGATTAGGGATAGGTCAGCACAGCTCTGGTTTCATGATGAGCAAGTTGGAAACTGAAAAGTACTTAGTGATTTGGGCGGCTGTTTCAGGATTCTAGAACGATTCATAGTTGGTTCAAACTGCAAAGAGCACAGATGAATAAACTCACATGTGCAGAAAGTTTTCATGTTCGCTTTCTGCAGAATAGATGTGTGTTAATTCTGAGAACAGAAACAAGATGGTAAATACACACAACTGAAATTTCTGAATAAGTAATAGAAGGCAATCCAGATGTAATGTGTCCTTTATCCAATAAGTTTTAAAAGGACAGGGCAAAGTGGTATCATGAAAAGGCCTAATTTTTAATTGTAGGTTTCATATTATAATGCTAAGCTCACCAAACCTGTCCTGTCCTTCATGAATCTGATGTAAGGAAATGGTTAGTGAAATAAGCTAAGCTATATTGTTGTTTAGGAAGAAGCAGAAGAGAAATTGAGAAAGCAAAAAGAGATGAAGCAAGATTTTGAAGAACAAATGGCCTTGAAGGAACTAGTATTACAGGCTACAAAAGAGGAAGAGGAGATCTTTAGGAAAACTATGCTAGCTAAACTTGCTGAGGATGATCGAATAGAATTGATGAATGCTCAGAAACAAAGAATGAAGCAACTGGAACACAGGAGGGCTGTGGAAAAACTTATTGAAGATCGCCGCAACCAGTTCCTTGAAGACAAAGTAAGAAAAAGATTATTTTTATGTGGTCATTATTATTAACAGCAACCAGCTCATCTACTTATGAGACATTTACTGAGAATCTTTTATGTCCCAGACAACGTTAGATATCTGTTTGCTAATCATAAATTTTCTGACCAATCATTTATTAATTCAAGTAAAAATACAGTTGGACTTAAAAAGTTCATGGAAAGATTAAAGTATGAGTTTGCTTTGGTACAAAAAAAAAATGGAAATCCATGCAGTTTTTTCATAACCATTTTTCATGAGCTTTTTGAAGACCCCAAGTATTTATTGCTACTTTCTATGTACCAGACGGTTAGTGTTGAAAACATAAAAGTACATACAAGGTAAGTTCATGTCATCTATGAATTTATGAACTTGGCTAAGAACAAAATATAAAACCCTAATAGATATGTCTTGTGCAGGTGATAATAATTATACAGATATTGCTGTGTAAAATCCAGCATCTTTTTCTGTGACTTATTGAGAGGCAATGCAAAAGGGGGAGAAGGGAGTTTATTTAGCTGTGTTCGAGCACAGGGAGTGGCCGAATCCAACAAGCTCACCAATTCCCAGAAGAGAAATTTCCATCCCTTTATATACCATTACACTTCTCTTTTATGCATTATCTATAACATACATTTAGCTTGTTCAGTGTTACTCTTACCCTAACGGTTTTCCCAAAATTATTCTGTGCACACCTTTCCCTTTCCCAAGATATTTATGAGCCCATTTTTCTCATGGTGACGTTGAATCTATTGACTCAGCGTTGTGACATTTTTTTTTTAGAGCTATACTGTTTAACAAAACACTCTAAATGTAATTATTATGGTAAATTATAACAAACATTACAGTTTTTGCAGTTTAGCCTGTTACATTGTGTCCTTTGAGGAAACATTCCCCTCTTCTAAGATTTCTTGTCTAAGTCCTTGGCCCCTGTCCTGGTTGAATTTTTATGATGACTATGTAAAACATGTGGCTTAAGTTACCTCTTTTAAGCAAACATACTTATTTATGATCGTAGCTACAGATTACATTAGTTACAGAAGCTATAACCACCAGTTAACCTTAAAGTATAAGAGAAATAAAGCAAAAAATAGGGTTAAGAAATTGCTTATCCTGTTATAATATGAATGTGTTAGTGTGGCAGACGTGGAGTGCACTGGAAGCTGTTTTTAAGGTAGATTTTTTTCCCCAGGGGGAGCCTCTGAAGAATTACAAAAGCTATACTAGGGCTGCATTTTTTCTTTTTTTTGGAGAGGTTTTTGCTATAGGGCACGTGTGCTCACCAGACAGAGACACAAAGCAAGAAATCACCTTCCCCCCAACGGGGGCTTGCCATGCTGCAATCCCTTCTCCTCCTTTCTCCTCTTGGGATCTTGGGCACGCACGCATACGTGCCTGGTGTGAGTTTAAGTCACCGGGCCCGGGACTTGAATCGTGAAGTCCAGCGACATAGCCATTACGCTAACTGCTGGTCCCCTGCATTTGAAAGATAATGTGAGTGTAGCATTGAGGGAAGATCTGAGGAGAGCAAGACCAGAGACCATTGTATTCCCAATAATACAGTATAAGAAACTGCCCAAAATTTCAAGAGGGTTTTCAAATTGTTCATGCAAAATTTTTATTTACTATGGTAAACCTATGCATTGATACCAAATTTTTTTTTATATGGCTATATCCTAGAATATTTTTATCCAATAACTTTAAAGGGTTGTCTCCCACTGTTTTTTTCTAGAGAGAGATTTTTTGCTATAGGGAATGTGCACTTGCCAGAGAGACAGTGAGAAATCACTCTCCATGACGGATGGCCATGCTGCAGTCCCTTCTCTTGCGATATTGGGCTAAAAACTCATGGACATGTGCCTTGTGGGAGTCCAACAGGGTAACCATCTGCTGGTCCCAGAGTTTGCCTCCCATTTTAGCCAAGGAGATACATGTTGTCTTTTAAGGTTTAAATGTCTTTGGCAAGGAGTGGACAGAAGAAACAGCGACCCTGTCACCTAAAGTAAGCTTTGGCAGAAAATCACTACCAATTCAAATCACTACTATTTCAATGATCTTTCCAATTCAACAGGTTTATTTGGTCACATTTCCACAAGCGTTCTTTAAGCCCTAAAACTTCAAACTAAAGTCCTCTATTGAGTTGTGGGTAAAGTCATGATACATTTTTCTATGCAAAAATTTTTCCAGTGACCCAATATATCATGGTACAGAATTCTGAAGTGATTAAGACCATTCACAGCTTTCTGAGAGTTTGTTGGAACTCTTACACTTTGTATAAGGTTTTAAAAAATTATCCTGTAGACATCTATACTGCGTTGTAGTCACTACCTTTTTTGTCTTGAACTGTCTTCACCAGGCATATGTTAAAATTCAATAACTATTTGGTGAATTTATTCGAAAATCACTCTTTTTTTCCTTTATAATGAAGACATTTTCATTTGCCTCTAAAATCCGTCACAACTCATAACTGTAAAGGAGTAATGATGACAGAGGTTATCTATGTACATGCTGGTATCTTTTGAACTTAGTGTCATAGTTTATTTGAAAACTTGAAAGGTTAACATTTTGTGATTTTCAAATTAATGAAATTTGTTTCCAGCAACGAGAACTAGATGAATGGCATTCACTGCAAAGACAACAAGGATGTATCAATACAATTATTGAAGAAGAAAGGCTAAAACTGCTGAAAGAACATGCTACAAAGTTACTAGGATATCTCCCTAAAGTGAGTGAGATTTATCTCAAGTACAACCTTCATAATCACGTAACGGTGTAAAAAAGATGGCACGGTCAGCTATGTACTACTTGATGAGCTCTTGGTGAGGACGGTGCTTCTGTAAAGATGCCATGGATCCTAGGCATGTAGTAGGATTTCTTAGACCCTATCCTTAAGCGATGCATGACTTGGGCCTAGGTCTCATGCACTTGCTGTGTTATGAAGTAGCACTGTGATCTCGGCCAGGCACTGAAATTCTCTGGGCCCATTATGAGAGCCATGAACTAGATCTACTGAATTTTTACTTCAGGAGTTCATTTTTCTTTCAGCATAGGAGGTCTAAAACGATCAGAGGTAGGACCTAATATATATATCAGAAACGGTGATGTCCTGCTCTAGAGTAGTTATAACTAGGTAACTTTGATTTTCAAAAGTAATTCTAGAAGGTCTGAGATGTATATGAAAATTTGCTGAAGTTCCATAGGCTACACCTAAAGATTTAGAAAAAAGAGACTGCTTGTCCACCAGGTCTTCTGGGTTAGACAGGATAAATGGATGCAAAATGTTTTAAAACCTACAAATTATAGCAAGTGTTTTTTATCAGAGGTAGGACCTAATAAACTTGGTATCTAAAAATGATCATACCCTTTCGATTCTACGTAAACCAAATTATCTTTCAAATCGCAAATTTAAAGAGCCTTACACTACAGGGAAAAAAGTAGAGCACATCAAATAGTTTAACTCAAAATCTGGGTTCGGTTCTTTCCTACAAGACTGAATGTTTGCTAATTAGTAATCAACTGAGGCATGAAGAACCAAGCTTATGCATGAATGTAAGTCACTTTATCCATGACCTGTTCTAAGACAAAGGTAGGGTATAATGTATTGGTTGTCGGAAAAGTCATCATGGCTGTTAAATGAGGAAAGTGAGTCTGAGACTATTCAGTATATATAGTAATTTATAAATTACTATCTGTAGTTCTTATATTACCTTAAAAATGAGTGGAAAAATATTCAAACATTTTTTCTTGTAGGGAATATTTAAAAAAGAGGATGATATTGATTTGCTTGGTGAAGACTTCAGGAGAACCTATCAAAAAAGGCGGGAAATTTGTGAAGAGAAGTGAGTAGCATCAAGACTTAGTAACATATTGAAGAATCCAAACTTTGCCACTAGATGTCAGCATAACTTAACACTTCAAGGGCCGTAGGACTCCATTATCTATCTACCTGGATTTCCTGAAGCATCACAGTATAAACAACAGTAATTTTGCATTTTTAAAAATCTGATATTTCTGTACATCTAAATTCTACACCATCTGTCAGGTATATTCACTGTGACTAACTCTAAATTGAATTTTATGTTTAGAATTTGGCTTTTAAGCATTTTTCCTGTCTACTATATCTAAATAAAGAATAAGGAACTTCACAGTGTTTCTTTACCTAATGGGCTGGTTATATTAACTTTAAAACAAATTGCTCTAATTTATGTTCTCGAATGATTCTCTAGAACACATTTTCAAGTGGAGTTGTGAAAACACGAAAGGACTAGGCAGGTTATAAGAAAGATAGCAGAAGATACTTAAAATATTTTGAATTCCCCCAATTTATGTTTACTCATGGATTTCCCCATTCAAGTGCCTTCATAAATTCTTCTTCAGTAAAAGATAGCATCTTCGCAGCTTCAATATGCATCTATTTAAAAAAAGTATGATATAAAAATGTAAGTTCTGTTGTAGGAATGTTTACTGCAGTTCCAACAGGCATGACATTTGAAATCTTAATTACATTCAAGGATCTACCTACTGTTCTGTCTTAATATGACTTTTGTAAAAATGGAAAGAAGTACGAACTCATACCTTCTCATCAACTATCCCATGTTTAAAGAAAGGAACAAGGGTGGTTTGCAATCAACACTGTTTTAAGTTTGAAAGAACAAACAATTCCAATAGTCATTCTTCTGCCTGGTTACTTTTCTGTAGTTGGAAAGTACCCGTGCTGATTTACTTACTGAAAAACTCCACTTGCTTGAATAACACCTTATATATATTAGATTTCATATTTTATCTAAAGTTTTGTGCCTAAGGAGACCTAAATATTTTGGGCCACTCTCATAGCCTGATCAGAACGACCTATATGGCTGACTGCAGTTCAAAGTCTGGCCCTAGTGGTTTGAAAACATTGTCATGTGCACATGCCCCAAGTGGAGAAGGAAATGTGTAACCACACCCTATTAGGAGGGTGGTTTCTCCGTCTGTGGTGAGCATGTAAGCCCTCTGGCAATTCAAGAGTTTTTGGGGTTTGTTTGCTTATATGGCATGTGGACTCACCTGGATGACCATGCATGCCTGATAGACTTTTTAAGCTGCTAGGTTCTGAATAAGACAGTTGGCCACATAAGATCCAGTGCCTTAACCAAAACATCACCTGGCTAGCCCAACATTAAATATTTTAATAGAAAAAAACCCAGATATTACTTGGACCTTTTTTTTTTTAAGGATAGACTTACCTTCTGCCTTTTTAAAACATCAATTAATTTTAATTGTTTCTTGAACCCTATCATTAATTCTCCTTTTTGTTTTTCTAGTTTCTTATTTTCTGATTTTAATACTTCAATTTTTTTGTACTCTTCATTTGCTATATCCTACAAAAGAAAAAAATACATATTTTTTAAAATATGCAGTTTTGTAAAGGAAGAATTATTAAAGATTCATCACATTGATAATAAGTACTACTTTTTAAACTGAAAAAAATTTTAAGTAAAAATGTCTTTGTATTACTAATTACTGGAATTTGAGAGCTTTTAATCATGCTCAGGTCTAAAAGAAAATGTTTTTAAAATAATCCAATCCTAATTCTAGTAATGTCAAGGTAGCTTGTATTGGACTATCTTTCCTAATAGTAACATATAAACTCTATACACAATTTATAGTTGAAAGTATAGATGAATAATCAGTAAGCAGAAATCAGAAGTAATGTGATCCTTGGGAACCAGCAGTTAACGTAATGGCTGTGTCGCAGGATTCCTACGTAGTCGACTGTAGTTCACGTCCCGGATCCGGTGGCTTAAAACTCACACCGGGCGCGTGTGCATGTGTGCCCAAGACCCCGAGAGGAGAATGGAGGAGAAGGGATTGCGGCGTGACCATCCCCCCTGGGGGGTGATTTCTCACTTTCTGTCTGTCTGCCTCTGGCGAGCGCACGCGCTCTATAGCAAAAACCTCTCGGAAAAAAAAGTAATGTGATCCTTGAAAAAGCAAAACTACACTGGTAGATACATATTCAAATAGCTTCTCCTAAGAGCACTCTGCTGTTCGTGGGTTCACCAGGGCATAGACCACACTATCAAAAATATTATTCTCAACTACACTGAGGAATAGGAGAACAGGGCTGCCAGAGCAGTATAAATTTCTACATGGTATTAGAGAAAAAGGCCTCAAAAATCTGTGTACATAATGAGGATACTAAAAAAAAAAAAAAAAAAGTTCATGGAAAATGGGATTTTAGTGCAAAAACATTTTAAAATCCATGCAATTTTTAATACACGTTTTCCACAAACTTTTTGAAGGTTCCATATATTTCCTCCAAATTCTTGGCAGACAACTAAGTACTACCTTCAGGGTGAGACTCCTAGGTACCTGTGAAACAGAGGACTAAAGAACTGAGCGGTGAATTTACCCAGTGCACAAAACAAGGGAGACCAATATTTTAACTTTGGTGAAAACTGGTTAAGTTCTGCAGCAATGTGGACAATACAGAAAAAGGATCAGTGAATTTTCACACAGATCAGCAGAGGTAATTATGTACAGGAAGATCTATACATGAAATGTTGAAAGAAGTTTTATATAGAAGGAAAATAGTAGTGGAAAGAAATCTGAATCTACAGACACACAAAAAATTAACAAATAACAATGAAACAGAATAGAGCCAAGAAAAAAGTTTGCATATTCACAGCCAGTTGATTTTCAACACACACTCAACAAAGACTCAACAAAGACTCAGCAAAGAACATACACTGGGGAAAAGACAATAAATGGTTCTGGGTGAAATGAATACACAAAAAAATTAACAAATAACAATGAAACAAGAAAAAAGTTTGCATATTCACAGCCAGTTGATTTTCAACACACACTCAACAAAGACTCAGCAAAGAACATACACTGGGGAAAAGACAATAAATGGTTCTGGGTGAAATGAATAGTCACATGCAGAGGAATAAAGGAGATCCCTATCTCTAGCCATATAACAAAAATCAATTAAAAATGGATTAAAGACTTGAATGTAAAGTATGAAACTGAAATTACTAGAATAAAACAGGTGAAATGCTTCAGGACATCTGTCTAGGCAAACATTCTTTGCGGAAGACCTAGAAAGCTACTGCATAGCAAAGGAAATAACTGACAGAGTGAAAAGACAACTTACAGGTTGGTAAAAAGTATTTGCAAACTATTCGTCCGATAACAGCTTAACATCCAGAATACATAAGGAACTCAAATAATAGTAAAACAAAGTGCAAATGAGCTGAATAGACACTACTCCAAAGACAGAATACAAATGAACAAGTATATGAAAAATGCTCACCACTAGTTACCAAGGAAATGCAAATCAAAATCACAATATCTTATTCCCCATTAGAAAGGCTATCGTCTAAAAGAAAAAAATAACATAAGCTGGTCACAATCGGGAGAAACAGTAATTCTAACATACCACTTGTATGACTGTAAATTAGAACAGCCATTATGGAGAACAGTATAGATTCTTCAAAAAACTGAAATTAAAACCTTACGATCCAGCAATCTCACTACTGAGTATATACCTGAAGTTATGTCACAGAGTAATCTGCACTCCCATCTTTACTACAGCACTAGACACCAGAGCCAAGATATGAAATCTAGATGTCTGTTAACCGGTGAATGGGGGACCAGCAGATGGCATAATGGTTATGCTGCTAGACTCCCACATAGCCAACTGTGGTTCAAGTCCTGGACCCGGTGGCTTAAACTCACACCGGGCACATGTGCGTGTGTGCCCAAGATCCCGAGAGGAGAATGGAGGAGAAGGGATTGTAGTGTGACCATCTCCCTCTGGGGGGTGATTTCTTACTGTGTCTCTGTCTGTCTCTGTCTCTCTGGCAAGTGCACATGCTGTGTAGCAAAAATCTTGCTCAAAAACAAAAACGACGACAAAAAAACCCAGATGAATGGATAAAGAAAATGGGGTATATATGCACAATGGAATGTACTCAGCCATAAAAAAGAAGAGAAACCCGCACCTTTTACAATATGTATGACAGTGGGTGACGGTGGGTGACACTGGAAGTGAAATAAGCCAAGCAGAGATTATCACGTTTTCACTCATGTCGAAGCTAAAAACAGTTGATTTCATACAGGCAGTGGACGAGTGGTCACCAAAGGCTGGGGTAGGGGTAGGGTAGGGGTAGGGTATAAGGGATATAAGGAGTTTGTTTAAAGGGTAAACAATTGCAGTTGGATTAAAAAAAAAATTAAGTTTTACTTTTCTGCATAACAGATGATGACAGTTAATTTACTATAGATCCTCAAATAACTACCAAAGAGGATTTTTACTGTCCCCAGAATAAGGAAATGAATGTGGGAGGTGACAGATAATGCTAACTACCCTATTAGGTCATTACTCACTGTATACATTTATCAAAATATCATTCTTTACCCCATAAATATGTACAATTATTATGCATCAATTAAAATAAAAATAAAAAGGCAGTTCATTCATTTTTGCATCCCATCAAAAAAAAAGTAATGTCAGAACACAGACTATTACCAGGAATAAAAACAGTTGTCATAATAATAAAAGAATTAATTCATGAAGAGGACATAATAATCCAGAATATTAGTAACAGAGATTCACAACATTTTATAAAAATTAAAGAAACTAAAAATAGAAATACATCCACGATTGTTTTCAGAATTCAGTACTCCTCTCTTAATTATTGACAGAGCAAGAGCCAAGAAAATATGTAAAGATATATGAGAACAGTAACAAGCAACTTGACATAACTGACATTTATATAATACTCTGCTCAACAAATGCAGAATGCACATTGATTTCAAGGACACTGCAATATTTACCAATTTGTATTATACTGTGGACCATAAAACAAAGTTTCTATACATTTACAATGAATCAAATGAGACTAAATGTATTCTCTGTCCATGATGGAATTAGGTCATTACTCATTGCATACATTTATCAAAATAAATATATACAAGACCATGTCTCATTGGTGGTTTCTCTTCCCCCCTCTCTCCCCCTTCTCTCTTGGGAGTACATGAGCAATCTTAAAATTAGAAAGAAAAAAACAAACAAAAAACAACAAAATCTGAACAAAAATTTCCAGGAAGTTTTGCTTTTCCAGAAAAATGACCTGAGCATTCACTTGATACCAGTAAATAAAAATTAGAAAAATTTAAAATTTACAAAATAATCTAAAAGTAAATTTACAAGACTAGCAGACTAAAAAAATTTGCAAGCCCCATAATACTACAGACTATACTATAGACTACAGTTATGTTCCCATGTGTACAAAGATGCAAAAAAATCAAACATTTTCACAAACATAGCCCTATAACAAATAAGAGAGATGACGATATACTACTACCAAGGTGTTTCTCCCAGGAGTACAGGCTGTCTTAGCATTGGAAAATGAACAAATTCATTTCAAACACCATTCAACACCTTATGTCTGTCCAGTTCTAGCCTTCAGCTAGTCATCTTGAAAGAATTACATATACTCACTATCTCCATTTCTCACCTGCATTTGTTTTTTTAAACATTTTTTTGTTTATTTTGCCATAGGATGCATGTGCCCACAGGAGATCGAGACAGACAGGGAAAGTGAGAACTCAACCCGTCAAGCGGAAGGCCACACTACAATCCTATCTCCGCTATCCTCTCAGGATTCATATTCATACAATTGATATCAACAGACTGAAAAATAAAAATATATCATCTCTGACCAGCAGGTGCTGTGGACATTAAGGCGACTAGATCTTAACGTGAAAATGCAAAAGACCTATAGTGGTTGCATTCTGTACTAAAAGAGGAAGAAAACTGTACTCACTCTGATAATCAAGACCGTGTGTTATCAGTATACTGATGGTCTTACGGTCCAATGGAATAGAAGAGATATTCCTGAAATAGATCTGCATATTTCTGGACAACTGATCATCAACCCAGTGTGTCAAGGCAACTCAATGGTTAAAGAGTAATCTTTTCAACAAGTAGTGCTGGGACATATGGAAAACATTTGGACTTGAGGGGCCAGCATTTAGCATAATGGCTATTTTGCTGGACTCCCATGTAGCCAACCGCAGTTCGAGTCCTGGACCTGGTGGCTTAAACTCACGCCAGGTGTGTGCGTGTGTGCCCAGGATCCTGAGAGGAGAAAGGAGAAGGGATTGTGGCGTGGCCAACCCCCCTGGGGGGTGATTTCTTGCATTGTGTCTTTCTGGCAAGCACACACACCCTATAGCAAAAATCACTCCAAAAAAAAAAAAAATTTTGGACTTGGACTCTTACATCATGTCATACACAAAAGCTCACCTGAAGCCACACAATTTCTACAAGAAAATGTAAGAATAAACCTTAGTGACTTTAAATTTAGCAAAGAATTCTTAAACAGGGCAGACACAAAAAAGGACAAACTATAAAAGTAAAAGAAACGATTAAGTTAGATTTCAAAATTTTAAACATCTTGGGAACCAGCAGTTAGCGTAATGGCTATGTCACTGGACTCCCACGTCGCGTCCTGGACCTGGTGACTTAAAACTCATGCCGGGCGCGTGTGTGTGCATGCCCAAGATCCCGAGAGGAGAATGGAGGAGAAGGGATTGCGGCGTGACCATCCCCAGTGGGGGTGATTTCTCGCTTTCTGTCTCTCTGTCTCTCTCTGTCTTTCTGGCGAGCGCACGCGCCCTATAGCGAAAACCTTTCCAAAAAAAATAATTTTTTTTTTAAAACATCTGCTCTTAGGGACCAGTAGCTGGCATAATAACTATGTTGCTGGACTCCCATGTAGTTGACTGTAGTTCAAGTTCCGAACTCAGTGGCTTAAACTCACGCCGGGCGTGTGTGCGTGTGTGCCCAAGATCCCAAGAGGACAATGGAGGAGAAGGAATTGCGGTGTGGCCTTCCCCCCCCGGGGGGTGGGGGTGATTTCTTGCTTTCTGTCTCTCTGTCTCTTTCTGGTGAGTGCACATGCCTTTTAGCAAAAACTTCTCCAAAAGCAAATCTGCTTTTCAAAAGACTTAGAAGAATAAAAAGACAAGGAATGAAATATTTAAAAAGTATACATCTGATAATGTATGTAGTGAACATATAAAGAATGAGGTATACAACTTGTTACACCATAATTCAAATAACATTTTTTAAAAAAAGAATTTATTTATTTAACTTTATTTTATTTTACTGTAGGACACATGCACTCACCAGAGTTAGACAGGGAGAGAGAGAGAAAGTGAAAAAGCAAGCTGCCAGGTCTGAGACTCAAACCATGGTCAGACATGTGGGAGTCCAGCACCTTAACCACCATGCCGTCTGCTGGCCCCTCAACACATTTTTAGAAAGTGAACAAAAGAGGATCAGCAGTTGGCATAATGGCCATGTTGCTGGACTCCGCGGTTCGAGTCCCAGACCTGGTGGCTTAAACACACACCGGGCGCATATTCATGCGTGCCCAAGACCCCGAGAGGAGAATGGAGGAAAAGGGACTGCAGCATGGCCATTCCCCCTGGGGGGTGATTTCTCACTTTCTGTCTCTCTCTTTCCGATGAGCACATGCACCCTATAGCAAAAACCTCTCAAAAAAAAAAAAATAGTGAACAAAAGAAATAGAACTTACAAAATCTAAATTATGGTCTTTCGTTACCAATAATGTATCAATGTTGACTCATTAATTGGAACAAATGTACCATACGATTATACGTATATGTTACTAACAGGGTAAGTGGATCACGTGAGTATGCTAATTGCTGTTTTAATCATTACTCATTTGTAATCTTGTATAGAAAAGTCACACTGCTGTGACAGTAGGTAAAATTACTGTATGTCAATACAACAAATAGGATAAACTGGTTATGGCATTTATAAGAATGCTCTGTATTAGTTTCACAATTTTTCCTTTTCTTTTTCTCTTGCCAGAGAACATCTGCACTAGAGGGAGAGAGAGAGAGAGAGAGAGAAAACATCCCTGCCAATGGGACATGCCCATATTGCAATTCTCTCTTCCGTTCTTTATCCTGTTAGGATCTGGGGGACATGCATACACATGCCTGGACACTAGAGCCAGCCATTACAAATACAGCTCCCAGATGCACACGGCTCAACCGCTGTGCCGTGTGGCCAGCCATGCTTTTCCTGTAAATCATTTGGGTTGTTGGAAAGTCATGACACATTTCTGCATAAACAAACACAGGAAAAAAGTCATGACTTTCCCAACAACCTAAGAAAACTTTTCTAAAAATCAAAGGTCATTCGAAGTTTATTTTAAAATGAGGACAGTATTTATAAAGACACTTCAGCAAAGACAGTAAAATGGCAAATAAACACAAAAAGGTATTCAACATCATGAGTCATTAGGGAAATGCAATTAAATCACAATGCAGTATCATTAGGCAACCACTAAAACATCTAAAAATACAAAAACCAGCTATATTAAGTGTTGGTGAGCACGCAGAACAGCTGAAAAACCTTATATACTGCTGGTGAGAATATAAACTGATACCATTTTGGAAAACATTTGGGCAGCTGAACATACATCTACAATATAATCCATGTGACACCTAAATATCTCCTAAAGAGAAAAGACAGAGTGTGTCCATATAGAGACTTAAACATGAGTGTTTGTGGCAGCTTTACTTAAAATAGCCCTAAAACGGAAACAACCCAAGCGCCCATCAACAGGTGAAGAGGTAAACAAATTTTAGCATGTTCATTCCAGGGGCAAAATTTTAAAATTGAACTATTTGTCACAAGCAACATACACAAATCTCAAAATAACTGTACTGACTGGAAGAAGGCACACACAAAAAGAATATAATGTTCTATAAAATGCAAAGAAGTTATCTGGAAATGGGGGCTGTAGAGAAAGTCATGGATTTTAAAGAGACACGGGAATCCTCCAGGGGTGATGGACATAGTCATTATCTTTTCTTAGGATTCTTTCACAGGCATAAATGTAGTCAAAACTCACCAAATATAACACTACATATATGGTTTACTGTATTCCAGTTATATCCTATTTAATATGAAAAAGTATATATACTTAAAGATAGGCAAATAATAACTGGGACATCACTAAGCTTCGCTTTGAGGGGAACTAGCTTTAGATGCTATTACAAGAGGTGCAAGTCAGTGACCTAAGCCTTCAACTTAAGTTAGAAAGAGCAAATTAAATACAATATACAACAGGATAACAAGGAACAAAATTCAGTGAAACAGAAAACAGTAGAGAAAAGGATAACTAAAATCAGTTCTTTGAAAAAGTGTTTGATAACTTGTTAATAAGACTGATCAAGAGGGGGGAAAAGGAAACTTATGACATGGATGAATCTCAAAATTATGCCAAGTGAAAGCCAATCACAATGACTGAAATAACTCATTTATAAGAAATTCAAGAATAAGGAAATCCAAACAATGCAATTTCTGAGAGGGCCCTGGAAAGGGATACAAGGAACCTTTCTGAGGAGAGTAAAACTATTCTATATAGGGACCAGCAGTTGACATAATGGCTATGTCACTGGACTCACACTGGGTCTGTGTGGTGCATGCCCAAGATCCCGAGAGGAGAAGGGATTGTGGCGTGGCTATCCCCTCTGGGGGTAATTTCTCGCTGTCTGTCTCTGTCTTTCTGGTGAGTGCATGCGCCCTACAGCAAAAACCTCTCAAAAAAAAAAAATTCCATATACTGATTGGAGTGTGATGGTTACACAGATGTATAAGGGCCAAATCTCACATATATGTACAATCTACACATCTTACTGTATGTAAATTAACTTCTTAGGAAAAAACACCACTCCACACCTTATGTCCCTCCAACCCTAGCCTTCAGTTAGCCATCTTGAAAGAATTACATATATTCACTGCCTCCATGTTCTCACCTTCATTCATTTTTTTAAAAAGGTTCTCTTTCTTTCCTTCCCCCTCCCCCTGCCCCATAGGGTGCATGTGCCCACTGGAAAGAGAGACAGACACAGCAGCAAAGTGAGAAATCAACCCCTAGAGGGGATGGCCACAGTGCAATCCCTTCATTCTCCTCTCATGATTTTGAGAATCCTGCACACACACCAGGCCTGATTTTCAGGCTGCTTTGCCCAGGGCTTGAACCTTGTTGGCAATGTGAGAATCCAGTGCCTTAACCACTACACCACCTGCTGGGCCTCTCACAGATATCTTAAAACTCTGTAGTCACTATGTCATATACTAACTTCTGTTACACAAGGTCAGTTTCATTCTGTTCCTCTTGAGTGTTACTAATTGAATCCAACATTTATGTGTTCATGAAGAGGGGCGAATGAGAGAGAAACCACTCCCCCAAGGGGGATGGCCATACCACAGTCCCTTCTCCAGGGATCTTGGGCACACACGCATATGCACTCGGCATAATTTTTCAAGCCACTGGGTCTGGGACTCAAACTGTGGTTGGTCATGGGGGAGTCCAGCAACGTAACCACTACACCGTCTGCTGGTCACCCCCGCAATCTGTTTTTTTGTTTCTTTATTTAATTTTTTGAGATAGATTCTTGTTATAGGGCACATATGATCACAGGAGAGACAGAAAGCAAGAAACCACTCCCCCACCCCTGGAGGGAGATGGCCACACTGCAATCCCTTCTCTTCCAGTCTCTTCTTGGGATCTTGGGCATGCACGCAAATGCCTGGCATGAGTTTTAAAACTCTGGGTCCAGGATTCAACTGTGGTTGACTATGTGAGAATCCAGTAATGTAGCCATTATGCCATCTGCTGGTCCCAGCCAGCACTATTGGTTTTTTTTTTGGAGAGGTTTTTGCTATAGGGCATTTGCGCTCACCAGAAAGACAGAACGTGAGAAATTACCAAAAAAAATGTGGTATATAATATATGTACCCAATACAAATTTGGATGATGAAATAACCAAATCCCCCAAGGGCTGTGCAATATCCAGTTATGGCAGCACCCCGAGCAAGTAACCCCACCTTGTGGAAAATGTACGTGAAATATATGGTGAATATATACAGCAAATGTATTTCTTCGGAAAAGAGAAATGCTCATAACATCAAAAATCATAATAGTAAAGCAATTATTTTTGATATTGCAGAGAAGAGGAAATTACCAAAGGTGATCACTACCAAAGCTACTCAGTTTTCCATACCTTGTTATTCTGCCTTAATTTACTCAACTCTAATTTATACTTCTCCGCTTCTTCTAGAGCTCTATTCAGGCGAACTTCCATGGCACTCTGACTAGTGGCAGCCTGTTTTTGTAGTCTTCTTTTATTTTCTAATTCCTGTATACCAAATAAGACACAGAACATTTGTAAAGATATCTTAAATTCCTTTTTTATTACTATAGTTTCTATTTCTAAAATGCCTTGCTTTATCCCACATTTTATACATATACACACATAAGGCTAGAGGTGAGCATTAAGTAATAAAGGTCTTAGGGAGTTCTTGCCTCAAACTGGTATTAGAAAAACATATTCTAACCTGGTATTAGAAAAACTTTCTAAAACATGTTGTCATTAAGTTTTCAAATGACTTTTTGCTTGGAATGCTCTGCCCCTCTATATGGACCCAAGATACATATATCAATACTTGTCCTCTATATTTTATAAGCAACTCTTTATAAAAATAAGCCTTCCAAAAGACCAATGTAAGATACAAACTCTCTAATGACTGGCAAACTATCACTTAAGAAAATATTAACTGTAGAGTATTGTATATTAACTCTATAGGAAAATTCCAATTCTGAGCAGAAATAACATCTTATAGATTACTTTCCACATCCGGTATGGGCTTAGACATATATTTCTGCAAATATTCTAGCAGTTTCCATTGTAAACAGTCACAGGCCACCAACTAAAGAAACATGAACAGAATTCCAAATTCCACCTTCATCTGGCACCTGTCAACCAGCCTTACCTCCCACCACATTTGCTACTTCTGCTAATACGTAGTATCCGCAGTGCCTGCTTCTTTGTCAAACAGCCACCATTTCCTTCCTCTGAGCATTTGCTCATGCTCTTCTCCTGCCCTATCCCTCCCCACTCTTCACACCTACCTCGCTAGCAACTGTTCACTGGGTAAGACTAAGCTAGAGTTGCCACCAGCTTTACCTCCACCAGGAGGCCTTCCCAGTCTATCCTCGCTGTCCTCCCAGCTTGGATCAGGTACTTTCTTCAGAGCTGAGGCAGCCCCTTGATACTGTGTGGTACTGAAACTGTCCATTCATTCCCCACATGATACAGTCCGCTCCTTGAGATAGGAGCCGTCTTAATTTCTGTGGAATAGTCCACCCTTTTTCTGTAGGGGATGTATTCCAATACCCCAGTGGATGCCTACGATCACAGGACCAATCTTTCATGCATGTGCGTGTGTTTTATAACAGCTACTAAAGACTAACAGGAGGGTAGTATATATGGTGCGGACTGCTGGATGAAGGAATAATTCATGGTTCTGGGCAGGATAGAGTCCCTAATACTAGCTGGACCAATTGGAATTTAAAACTTATGTATTGTTTATTTCTGGAATTTTCCATTTAGTATTTTTGGATTGTAGTTGACTAGGGTAACTGAAAGCACAGCAAGCAAAACCTCAGGTAAGGGGGATTCTTCCCAGCACGTTAGTGCTGTATAAATTACACTAATGAGGGCCAGCAGGTGGCATGGCAGTTGTGCTAGATCCCACCTGGCTGATCCCATAGTTCAAGTCCCAGACTCAGTGGCTTGAAAAACACACCAGGTATGTATGCGTGTGTCCAAGATCCTGAGAGAAAGGATTGTGGCATAGCCATCCCCCAGGGGTGACTCACTCTGGTGAGCATGAAGACCCTATAATCCAAACCTTTAAAAAAAAAAAAAAAAGTCAATAATGACAATTACCAAGCTTATTTTGTTACACTTAACCCACTCTTTGTCCCCCTTACAAGGCCTAGTCAGAGCCATCTATGCAGCAGATAATATTATGGAACTAAAATTATATCATTAAAAACATAGTTGACTGTATTCTTTTTGTATGATTTTTTTCTTCAGGCTATATTACTACATTTTATTTAGAAAGTGATCTCCCTGGCTCGGAGTAATTAAGGGGAAAAAATGAAACAAAACAAAACAAAACACATGCTCCTCTTGATGTAGGTTTCTAAACAACTCAGCCTGTGGATGGATGCCATCTGCTAGCACAGCCTTCTTCACAGCTTTGTGGGTGGGAGCTACACTGAGAGCTGGTCTGATTTATTTCACTTGCTCACAGGGAAAAGGCAAAGATTCTCATCAGCTGCCAAGTCCACCAATTCTGGCTGCCTCATTTCAGTCTCCTCTCATAATACAGAAATGAAACTGCCCTCTCTTGTGACTCTGTAAAACCCACTTCACAGAAAACCGAAACCATTATCACACGATGTCCCTTTCCACTCAACCAAAACTGCACCCTTTTTGGAGGGTGAGAAAAAGGATAGCCAGACGAGTATTATGGTTTGGATATTTTATGTTTGGGAATTTGATACTGGAAGGTAGAAAGGCCTAGTGGGCAGTGACTGGGCCATGGTCATTGCATCACGGAGGCAACACTCTCCTAACAGATACATGATGTCTTGTGAGACCCAGCGGGGTCATTCTCCTGAGAGCGGGATGTTACACGGGAGAGCGAGCGGCTCCTTTTCTCTAGGCACCTGCCATCCTGTCTCAGCTGGTCATTCTGCAGGCCTGTACCCCTGGACTTTCCTGCCACAGACCTGGAAGTTTGTAAATAAACTACTCTCTTTTTTATAAAATCACCCAGGCTCATGTATTTCTGTTAGCAATGCAAAAATGGACCTAAGATAAATAGGAAAGGAGAAGACAAAGTTTTTCTATATAAGTAAATTTACTAAAGAAAGGAAAAATCTTACCAAAAACTTTTTTAAAAATTGTTTTCAACGGGAACCAGCAGTTAGTGTAATGGCTATGTCGCTGGACTCCCACGTAGTCGACCACGGTTCACGTCCCGGACCCGGTGGCTTAAAACTCACGCAGGGCACGTGTGTGTGCGTGCCCAAGATCCCGAGAGGAGAATGGAGAAGGGATTGCGGCGTGACCATCCCCCCTGGGGGGTGATTTCTCGCTTTCTGTCTCTATGTCTCTCTCTGTCTGGCGAGTGCACGCACCCTATAGCGAAAACCTCTCAAAAAAAAGAAAAAAAATTGTTTTCAAGTACTTTTACAAAGTACAGACAAAAATACCAATATTGTTATGAGAAAAGTTGTATCATGAAGGAAACCTCTTACAAAAAATTATGCAGTTTACATGCTAGGCAAAAATTTCACAAGAAAACTCAAGCCCTAAATTGTACATTAGTTTTAAAAGAAAAAAACATCTAATCGCATTAAGAAAATTAAACTTAACTTTAGAACTCAACACCTGTTTCAAGAGGAAATAGTGTACCATTCTAGTTTTTATTATTATTATTATTGTTTTTGTCATAGGGCATATGCACTTGCCAGGGCAAAGAGAGAAAGATACAGAGGAAGGGAAAGTGAGAAATCACGCCCTAGAGGTCTAGCCACACCAGTCTCTTCTCCATTCTGTTCAGGGGATTTTGAGTGCACACATGTGCAGCATGATCTTCAAACCAGCAGTCTAGGACTTGAACCACAGTTGGCCACATGGGAGTCAAGTGGTTTAACCACCACGTCACCAGCTGGCCCCTTGTTATATCTATTAGCATCCATAAATGGCACTGAGGAAAGGCAGAAAAAAGAGGGCATGAATCAGCCACAACACAAGACAAAATCCAGTCAAAGCTGTAACAGTAACAGAAAGAGCTGTGGCAATGCACAGGAATAATCGATGAAAATACATGATCAGATAAGGTTTCAGAAACAAGTGACTAAGAGAAAAAAAAAGATATACATGAAGTCAGAAAACCTGCCCACTATTTTCATAGACTTGGTTTCCAAATCTGACAGTGGGAGTAATAAAATCGAATCTATGCTTCACTCATTTACTCCACACGTTCACCAAGCAGTTACTTTATGCCGGTACTATTCTGCATAATGGGCACACAGAAATTAACAATACTCCTCCTCTTGTGAAGGCTGCATTCTAGAGGAAGAGATGGTAAGCACACACACAAACACACCCAAGTAACAGCAGGTAGTGGTAAGAGCTATGAAGAAAATGCAAAAGGGCATAGAGACAAAGCAATGGGAGGAGGCCATAATTATTGGATTGTCAGGAAAACCACAACATATTTTACTATGTTTTTCTATGCAAAAATGTGTCATGACTTTCCCAACAACCTAAAATTTAAAGTAGAATTTGCCACTTGTTGGTACTCAAAAAGTTTTGGATTTTGCAGCATTCGAGGTTTCAAATTTTCACATCAGAGATGCCAATTTATAAGACAAATGGGCAAAGCAAACTTATGAGAATCTTATAAGCTTAACTTATAAGATGGGAGGCCTCTGGAAGGGGTACATGTGGGAGTGGACGCTGTAAGTTTTATGAGGATTACTCTGGCAGTGCTCAGTAGGAATATCAATCTATAAGGTTGTTGAAATAGTATAAGCGACAACAGTAGCTTGGGCTTGGGTAAGGCAAACAAGTGTTTTGAGAATTCTATATATTTTGAAGACAGAATTGACAGAACTTGTTGATGCAGTGGATGTACATGCAAAAAGTAAAAATGACTCTTGAATTTTGGACTGAACAACTAGGTGACATATTTTAATGAAAGGAGGGAAAAGACACAGGTTTGGAGAAGGCAGAGAAGAAAGAGTTCTGTTTTAGGACATGAGAAGTTGAGAATTTTTTTTTAAAAGAATTATTTTATTTATTTATTTTAATTTGACCAGAGAGGGACAGAGAGAGAGCTAGAGGGAAAGTGAGAAAGCAAACCACCAGGTCCAGGACTCAAGCCACGGTCAGTCACATGGGAGTCCAGCCCCCGTAACCACCATGCCACCTGCCGGCCCCAGGACATGAGAAGTTTAACATATCAGGTAGAGAAATCAAGTGGGCGGAGTCTGAAGTTCAAATAAGAGGTAGGAGCAAAGAATAAAACATGGGCATGATCAACTCACAGACAGTATATAAAGCCCTAGAAAGGGATGAGATCATCTGAGGACTGGATGTACAGACAAAAGAGCCAGGCATTGAGCCTTCAGCACTCCACTAGATAAAGTCAGGAGGAAAAAAGGAAGAAAATCATGAGTGTGATGCTCCAGAAGCCAAACAAACAGATTTTTAAGGTGGAGTAAACAACCATGTCAAACATTACTGAGATAATAAAGTAATATTAGGAATAACTG